GTGACCATTTCGACAGAGTGGTGACAAATGCTGTTGCTCACAAACCCTCTTGACTAGCTGTAAAGAGTGATATGTCTGTCCCTCAGCAGCAAGTTGTGTAACAGTGTGGGAATGGGGTTTGGCATCCTCTGTAGGAAGAGCCATCACCTTCCGGAGTGAGCTCGGGTGGGAACAACCCATCTTAAACCTCTTGGACCTGAGAGCCTAACCTAATGGCTGAGAAGAGCAAACGCACCTCACTGTCTGTCGTGTCCGGCTCGTCAGATTCCTGCTTCCCAGACTCAGCGTCATCGTCTTCTAAGGAAACACAAAGGGAAGGGGTTTTTGGCTGGTGGGGGGGCCCGACCATCTCACGAGCAGATGCAGACCCACCAGTCCAGGCTCTGAGAGCCATCGAGGCAGAACACAGATTCAGCAATATGTTGCAAAGCAGAGGCACTCTGAGCTACGTGGCTTGAAATGAATGTTTATGGGAGATCCAGCAGGACTCTGCTGGGGAACCAGCTCACTATAAAACTGTATCCAGAGGACTTTGCTACCCCAGGGTCTGAAGCACTGCCCTGAAGTCCATGGACACATGCGGGTTGGGAAGCTGAGGGGTATTTAAAATCTTATATTGAGCCTTCTGGTTTGAGACCCATGTGAGGAGAAATGTGTCTGGGTAAAGAGGTCAGAATGGACAATCACAGAATCACTGAATCCCAGCATGGCAGGGGTTGGAAGGGACCTCTGTGGGTCACCCAGCCCAACGCCCTGCCGAAGCAGGGTCACCCAGAGCAGGCTGCACAGGACTGCGTCCAGGCGGGTCTTGAGTGTCTCCAGAGAAGGAGACTTCACAACCTCCCTGGGCAGCCTGGGCCAGGGCTCCATCACCCTCAAAGTGAAGAAGTTCTTCATCACGTTCAGCTGGAACTTCCTCTGCTTCAGTTTGTGCCCATTGCCCCTTGTCCTGTCGCTGGGCACCACTGAAAAGAGTCTGGCCCCATCCTCCTGACACCCACCCTGCAGATATTTATAAGCATTTATAAGGTCCCCTCATCACCCTTCTCTTCTTCAGGCTGAACAATCCCGAAGCTTGCTGCCGGTCCTGGTTGGTGGCTCTCGGCAGGTAACATGTGCTGAGGATCAGAGGAAGGAAAGGCAGGGGAACTGTTTCCCTGCCCAGCAAAAAGGATTTTGCTGCACACAGGTCCCGAGGCCACACAACCCCAGACACGTAGCTGCATGCACTGACCTTTGCACGGAGCGAAGCTGCCCGGGCCAGGCACCGAGCCTCGCCGGCGGCGGCATCGCCCTGTCTGCACCCACAGTGGCACAGCCATGCTGGCCAAGGAGGGGCAGAACAGGCTGGGGACGGAGCCGTGCCCTCTTCCGAGGGGCACGGGAACCCCAGGACCTCAATACTTCTTGCTCCTTCCCCCCAGGTCCAGCCAGGGTGGGACTGTCAGCAGGGCAGCCTGCCTTGCAGCCCCTGCCTGGGTGGGAGAGCAGACGGTGCTGCTTTCAGGCACTCCTGGAGCCCCGTGGCCTGACCCCGTCTCCACTTCATCCTTCCGCGCGCTAAGGTTCGCTAGAAAGTGCAGAAATATTTGTGTATTGTTTCCTGGGCTTTGTGTCGACCTTAAGGTGAGAACTGAAGAAAGCCCTGTATTCCCACACCCAGGATGTAATCAGCTGAAATTCTTCTGCTATGATGATATCTGCTCACCATGTAAATCACAGAGGACTCCCCTCCTTTTTTTTTTTTTCCACAGTGCAGCATCCTGCTCTGGAGAGTGTTCCCAAACCGCTCCGACACGCCCAGACAAACTAATCCAGGCGAGCTCAACTTTCTGGCCGAGCCAGTAAGGCTGGTACCAAGCAGCTCCCAGCAGACGTGCTTCCCGCTCCGCTCCCCATGGCTGCTGCCTCCCACCCTCCCGGGCGAACTGGGTGCCCATGGCCCGTGGCAGTTGGGCAGGGAGAAAGCACCGCGTGTCCCCCGACTGAGGACACTGCTGGCTTTGGGAATGGAAAAGGCTTTTAGAGAGGATGGAGTGGGGAAAGGGAGGAGAGCATCCTGTCCTGCCTGCTGCAGGTAGCAGCATCCCTCGGTCCCCCCTCACCCCTACGTGCTGTGCCAGCACAGGGCACGCTTTGGAGCAAGGGGGCACAGACAGGGACGGATTTTCCAGTGCTGATCCTGCAAACCTCTTGTATTTTCCCCATCTCTGCTGGGGCGACTTCTGAACTTCTTCCCAGAGAGGGGTGGGTGATACTGGAGGGGCAACGTTATCTTGTCACCCCTCCCAGTGGAGCAGGTTTTGCAGATGGTTCAGTGCTAAACTGGCGTCTTTAGTTCCTGGAGAAATTGGTGGCACCCAGCAGCTGAGTGCAGAGTGCTCTGCAGGGTTTGCAAGGGCACCCCAGGGGAGGCTCCTGGTGTGTGCTGGGCAGGGACACTGGGCTCTTCTCCACAACAGCTGGTGTTATCTTCCCCCTATAGGTACTGACCCTGAATTTTGGACTTCCCTAGGGCTGAAAATCCAGCCTTCAAGGACAGAAATGTGAAACCTGAAGGTCTTCAGTGGCTCAGAAGAGCTGGGAGCCAGGAGCACCAGGGTCCCTGGCAGGGTGACCCATCCTGGTTATCTCCTGCTTTGGTCGACGGGGATTGCAGGTGTGTGCAGAACCCAGCACAGAGAACTCCCAGACATGAGATACCTTCACCAAAATGCACCTTTTGCTCTTGCCTTCTCAAATGTCACGTTTGCCTGGGGCTTTTTACCTGCTTCTCCCTTCTGTGCACTGACAGCCAGTCTCACCCCGGTCTCTGGAAGCGCCTCTGGGTCTCTCGGCGTGGAGCTGTTTGTCGGATGCGCCCGTGAGAGCGGGAGCTGTGGGATACAGGGAGCACAAATGCTGCCTTCGCCAGGCAGGAGGAAAGGGCCGTCCCCAGACCTTGGGCAATGACTGTGACACCCGTGGGGACGAGCATCGCAGAGGTGTTTTTGTGCACTGGAGGTGACCTGCGGGGAGCCCAGCACCCCTCCTGTGCCGACCTGCAGGATGGGGCACAGGCTCTGCCTGTTCGTGGAGCTGGGCAGAAACCCTGCGGGCACTGGAGGGGAGAGGAGGTGGGGAGCGAGAGCCAGGGCTGGGCGGCTGTGGCTTTGCCATGTGCAAATATGTCCCTGCTGGCTTCACACACAGCAAAGCCTTCCTCCCATGGGGCATTAATGGTGGTCAGAACGGTGCCAGCACCAGTGCCAGACACCCTGGGGAGGGGAAGAGGCCACGGATGATGCCAGCATGTGCTATACTCACCACAGCTGCATCCTCCTCCTCCTCCTCCTCCTCGACAGCACCCGGCAGTGCCCGGGCGGCACTGGGCCAGTGGTACAAGAAGTCGTCCCGCTCTGCCCCGTGTCTCCCGCAGGGGCTGCAGGCTGCTGGCACAGTCGTCTGCACCATCGTCCCTTGCTGCCTTCGTCTTTTCTTGGAGCTCGGAGCCATCCCGGCTCAGCCAAAGCTCCTTCTCTTCCTTCCCATCTGCAGCATCCTCCAGGAAGGACCTTTGCTCCTTGCACCCCGGCACGATGCTCAGCCATGGGGAGAGGGGCCGCTCCTCGGGCACAGGCTTTGGGTCTCCATCAGCCCGCTGGCCTGGCTGGCACTGCTGCATGAGGAAATGCTGCAGCCGCTCCCTGTGCTTGAGGAGGTGCAGCTTCTCCTCCAGCTGCTGATCCCTCACGTACACCATGGCGGCAGGGAGCTTCAGCAAGGCTGCGCGATCTTCCCAGCCATCACGCGACCTCGTCCTGCGCTCCGTGTCCTTGGCTCTGAGTCAGTGGCTGGAGAAGCTGCCGCCATCTCGGTCGGCCGAGGCGCAGTTGCTCGCCAGCCCCAGCTGGTGCAGGGAAAGGTGCTTGTGGAGGAGACAGAGCTGCTCTCTCCGGGTGGTCAGTTTTAGGTTTTCATACGATGGAGCAACCTTGGGAGAGTCCTGTTTGCTTGCTGTTAAATATCTAAAAGGAGGAGGAAAAATAAATCACATTAGTTAGAGAATTTTCATGTGATTTCCCAGCTCCTGCAGGTGATGTGTATGTGCCCTGTTCCCTGCTGCAGCTCTTGGCCCGTGCCTTTGGGTGCTGTGCTGGGGACAAGGGTCCTGGTGGCTCTGGGTGGCTCCAGGTTCAAGCAGCTGGCAGTCGGTCACCATCTGTGTAGAAATCCATCACCATCCCACCAACCAACAGCGCTCTGCTGTCCCGGTCCCCACGGCAGCTCCAGGCAGGGGGTTGAGCAAGTGGGGGATGCGGTGACCACTCACTTCAGCACTGCTGCTGAGAAGTCACTTATCGAACTGTGCCTTACAGCCAGAAGCATCCTGACTACCCCCACTGGGCTTTCTTGGTGCCTTGGTGGGCCTGAAGACCTTCAGGGCAGAGGAACAGCCCACCCTCCCCTAATCTCACTCAATGGGAGATTTTTACAGCCATGCTAAGAAGGTCAGCATGGTGCGTGAGCCTGCCCTGCAAACCGAGTCCCTGCATTGCTGGTTGTCTGGCAGCTTCCGTGCGCGTGAGCTTTTCCCGGGAATGCTCGGCAGATCTACTCCCACTCTGGGAAAGCGTCTGTCTCTGCAGGTGAACTCGCTGGCTTGACGCTTCTGAAATCAATGGGGAGGATAAGCCCAGGGAAGTGCTGAGCCCTGCAGAAAAGCCCATTAGAATAGATAAGGAGGCACAGGGATTGCTGCCTCCCGTGAGGCAAGTTCTTCTCCTTCTGGATGGAGGTGGGGGCACCCACTTTGCTTTCTGGGTATGCCTGAAGAAGCTGGAGTAACAAGAAGCTGTTCTTGTCAGATTAGATTCCAGTCATTTTTTGCTGGTGTAACTTGCTTTTGGACTAGATGACCCACAGAGGTCCCTTCCAACCCCTAACATTCTGTGATTCTGTGTGATTCTGTAAACTGGGAGACCCCCGCCCTCCCTAAGGCTGTGGGAGTAGTCTGGAGAAGAAGTTGGGCAGATACAGCGATTACCGATCACCTCATCGCAGTCTGCCCAGTGGGACAGCTGCAATGGGCCATGGATCAGGCCCACACCGTGCCCCACGAGCAGGTAACTCACGCCTCAAGGCTGGGGCTGTGCTCGCGCTCTGGTGGGAGAGGAGTCTTCCTCGCCGGTGGGGACACTGCTGCCCCTGAAGGACTTCGCTCCTGGAGGCAGGGTCTGGAGCCGGGTCTCACCAGGGCAATGGTTCCATGCAGCTGGTTGGCGATCCTCTGGGATGCCTGCGGCCGGGGGGAGAAATTCCAGGTGAGCCATCCTGCTGTGCACCTTGGGCAGCGTGGGGCTAAGGGGAGCCCAGCTGAGTGGAGACACAACTCTTCACCAGCGTGAGCAAGGCAGACAGGTCCTAAGTGCTCTGTTTGACACAATTCTGGTCAATATCTCAACAATATGTTCACCGGTTTTCCCAGGAAATTTCCCCTTCGTGTTTTCTAGCGGGATCTACAGTACACTTTATTTTCTGGCTGCACTGATTTGTAGCCCAGGAGGTCTTGTGCCTCCTCTCAAGTCAAGCCATGGTTCGGTGGCTTAACCAAGATAAGACCCTGCAAATTCCCTGATCCCTAGTCAGGCCACTAGACTTTATTAGTGCCATCTCCTGGCATGTGTTGATTTGATGGGTGTATTTCCAGTGGAGTACGCGGCTGCAAGGCCAGGACATTATCATCTCCATCTGCTGTCATGAAAGGCTCACCACATGTTCTGACTTGACTTTTCCCTGCCCACCTGGAGATGTCACCAGCCCTTCCTGTGATCCCTATTAATTATCCTCACAGCCTGCCTGCAGCCTTACCAAAACCCTTTTTCACCTGCTCTTTCAAGTTTTCTGTGGAGTTCAGGTAAGCAAATCCTGTGCCAAAACAGAAGCATCTATGTGGGCGTGCATGTGGGCTTGAGTTCCCATGACCAGGAACAGGGCTCCAGGTCCTGCAGTCTCCTCTCCCAGTCCCCAGTATCACCATATCACTCAGCATCCCTCGGCTGACACATACTCTCTGTGTTTTAAAGGCATGGCAGGCTTGCATCAATGCACAAAGTTGCAACCGCTGAATGTCAGGCCCTCTGAAAACACGAATATTCATTACGCTGCAGATGGAGAGACATCTGCGATGCTCTGGGGCAGGGCTGCTGTGGTGTGTTTGTTCTCAGTACCCACAGCTCCCACAGTTTACATATTCTCCAGGCTTTTCCATCTTTCTTAGTACTCCAACTTCTTGTTGGCCCAGCTAATGGAGAACTGGCTCTATAACTCAGGATAAGCTACACTGAAACGTGGCTTAGCACAGTTTTCCTGGGTCCTTTACTCCCGAGAGCTTTCCCCAGCAAGACATCCAAGAAAGGAACCAGCATGGTGGGCAGAGGATTTAAGGATGCTAGACATGCTGTTATGGAGGATAAGCACGGGAGGAAAGAAAGATGTGAATGCTCACAGTGGGCACAGGAGTCCACACCAAACTCCACGTGCTTCACTTGCAGTGAGCGGCAATTTCTGCAAAGAGGATGCATCTAGCATTTGGTAAGAGCCCTCGTTGGCTCTGGAAATCACAAGCTACCCAAGTCCAGCTCATCATTTTATCCCCTAAGTGCCTCCTACTCATTCTCTATCCTAGTCCACCCCCCTTGATCCAGTTCAGATGATCACAGTGGTGGGGAGAAGGCCTGAGGACATCAGGCAACCTCCGGCAACTCACCATTTCTGCGAGGTTGACTTCGTGGAGGACAGTGCTCGGGGAAGTCCTGCTGCTTGGAGAGCTTCTCTGTCCTGCAGGCTTTTCTGCAAAAAAAGACACAGCCAGCCACCGTGACAGTCCCGCAGAGCAGTTGCAGGCTGTCCTGCCCTGCTGTGTGCTGGAGTCTCACAGCCTCCCGAGGACGACACTGGCTGGCACCAACCACCTCATACAGAAGAATTCGAGCCAAAACTTCCATCCCGCTCAAGCCCACACCCGATTGAACGGCTCAAGCCAGCACCTGATTGAACGTACCCTCCATTGCATGTGTGGGTGGCAGCAAGGCAACCACATGGTCTCTGCATGAAATGGGTGGCGGGTCCACACCTGCACAGCACTTCTCTTACATGGAGGGCACCCAAACACTCCTTTGCTCTAAAGCAGAGGGGTGTGTTTGTCCTTTGACATGCAGTTCCCCCCAGCAGCTATCCTGTCCATGGCAGCGTCTATCTGAGCTGCTGAAAGCTTGGTCTTTGCTCTCCAGACCCTTTCCCAGAGCAGCTTTGCACCACAGTTCAAGTACTCTTCCCATCCTCAGGTCCCTTCAGTGTGGCGGGAGCCAACAGCACCCACCTTCTCCCAGCTCGAGGCCCGGCACCTCTTGGTGGGCTTCTTCGGCTCCCCTGTGAGCTTTCTCGGTGCTGGTGTTCCTGCTCGCTGGGGACAGTAAAGCCAAGGGGGAGCTTGGGGTGGAGCTGCTCTCTCTGGAGGTGACTCCTGGGGGCTTTGTCCTGTCCCGGTTGAAAGGAAAAGGACATGAATGAATGAGAAGGGGCAGGAGAAGGAAGATTTGAGAGCCACTGTGCTGGGAGCTCTGAGTTACAGAGCCTGATATATAAATACAAGTATTTATATAGATACATATGTGGATATACCGGATCCTCAAACTCATCTCCTTCTATTGCACCTTATTGCTAGCTCAGCTGCAGTCTGGAGCATGGGACAGAACCAGCATGACAGCTCAAGTTCTGATTTCCCCACCTGGCCATGGGTAACATCGCAGGAAGCCATGATGTTGGGTAAGCCAAAACCCAACTGCAGCTATTGCAAAAGCTCTGTGAGAACCTGTATGTCCCCAGCTGGGCTTTCAGCCTGATGTAGGGGTGGATTCAGCACGGGGATGTGGCGGCTGTCTCCTTTCACCATATCGAGATGGTGGGACTGATTCTCTTGGTCACTATGAGGGAGTCAACGAGTCTCGGAGACCTACATTTGTGTCATGGACAAGGTCTTGGCTGGACCCTTATGCTGAGACATGGGTGTTTGGCTGGAAGTCTTCCTATCCAGCAGCCCAGGGAAGAGCAGAGCAGAGCAGGAGCACTTGGTGCTCAGCAAACCCAGCCCAACCTACAGCTCTGAAACTCCTCAGGCCTTGGGAAGCACTGGGCAGTAAAAGCGAGGGTTTCTCTTTAAGCGGATGGTGCTTCTGTGCTCCAAAGAAAACACATTTCTAAACTAATCCCTCAGTGCTAATTCCTCTGGACTTTAAACCCTTGAGGAATGAGCAGATCTGTATATATTGGCCAGCCTGGCAGGTTACTTGGCTTTCAGCACAGCGCTCTGTGGGTTTACGAACCTGTTGGTGCAGATCCCTTCTTCCCTCTCAGTCCTGTCTCAGTCCTTTGCATGTCACTCTCCTTCCCCAAAACCACAACCTGCTTCCCACAGACCCTCTCTGGTAGCTGCAGGAGGGGAGCTGGTGCCATGGAAAAGCCATGGAAGCCCAGGCTTAGGTCTGTGGCCAAGGCAAGCTGCCCAGTGCTTTGCATCCCATGAGCAGTCCCCATGGTTGAATACCCTTGTTCCCCAAAAACTGAATCCTTGGATGCAGGTGAACAGGGGAGTGAGCAAAAGTCAGCAAGGACTTAGAGACCATTACGGGTGTTTCAGTGGCTGACTTCTACAGCAGCCCATGGGAATTAGATGTTAAGATCCCCCTGAGGACGCTGCTGTCTGGACATGGCCCTGCCCAGCGGTGGGGATGCCTCTGTCCTTACCGATACCCCTCGTAATGAATGAAACATAGCAGAGTGCTTACTCCAGGCTCCGGAGCCTCTTCAGTTCTTCCTTGAGAGTTTTGTTCTCTTCCCTCAGGCGGTTTGTCTCGTTAGCTGCAGGGACACAAGTTGTGCCATGGATTCAGGCACTGCAAGAAGAGAGCTGATGCTCCTCGCAGCTTGCTGGCTGCACAGGGGAGGAGGGGGGAGCGACACCAGGTTGTGAAGGGATGCTGAATTTCCTTCCTTCTCTGAAAACACGCCGGGGGAGATAAAAGGGAGCAACATTCTGACTGAGGTTTTATCAGGATTGGGGTCTGCTTGCAGCCCATCCAGCTCCGGGGGAGACCCCGACGAGGCAATGGCTGCAGCATGGTGGGATGGACACAGCCTGCATCCTGCCTGTGAGCACCATGGCTGCCTACGATGAGCGGGTGCTGTGTTAGTGGGAGGGGTGGGGGTCTCTGGGGGGATTGGGCAAAGGCTGAGGGAGATGCGAGCACCCAGCAGCCGGGCACAGCGGCGGGAAGCAGTGAGCAGGAAGGCTCTCGGGCAGGCTGGGCTGCCAGCACGGCTTGCTGCTGCTCAAAAGCAGCACTCGGGGAGCAATGGCATAACAGGGGAGGTGAACCAAGGGCTGCTGGCACCTCTCCGTCTCTCCGAACGCCCTATCTCCTTTAGCCCCATGACCCTCCCTGGGCCAGCCAGATCCCCAGGGAAAAACACCTGGAGCTGGAGCAGTGCTGGGAGCTCTGCCAAAGCCTCGGGAGAAGATCCATCACACGTGCTGCTGGATTTCCATTTACCGGTGCTGAGCTGCTGCTGTGACTTTGCCGGAGTGTTGCCTCTGCGGTGACAAATGCAACTTTTTTCCAGGCAGCTGATGGGACCTGGCCAGCTTGGGGCTGCTCTTGGCGTGAGCATCTCTCATTTTTCTGGAGATGCAGAGGGCTGCGACCCCCCAGCTCCACCACTTTGTGTGCAAGCGGTTATCTCTGCTTGGGGGGGGACGTGGGCTGCCATCCACAGTCCTGGTCAGGTCTGAGTTTTCAAGACCCTCACACTGACATTGGCTCCCTCCCTTCTCCCTGTCCCCAAACCCCTCCTGGGTGCCTGGTCTGAGGGGGGGCTCACATGCAAATATCTGGGAGAGGCTTTGACTGAGCAAGGACCCAGGCAGCCAAAGGCGAGCTTAGAGCAGGTGGTGGTACGTACTGAGGATGAAGATGTGCTGCAGGCTCTGGAAATGGGAGGTTTCATACTCGTTCTGCTTCTTTTTCGCCAGCTCCTGTGTGACCATGCATCTGTCACAGAGACCTGCTCGCAGCCTGGAGGAAAACCCGCGGCCGGCAGCTTGTTACTACACGGTTTCCATGGGGGAAAGAAGCTCCTGCTCTCCCCATGGAGAAGCGTGAGCACCCAGTCCATCACCCAAAATTGGTGAGAGAGATTATCATCCATGCAGCCCTGCCCTGGCCTTTCCACCCCCCTGATCCAGTCCCACCAACATCAGCTTAGGAAAGCTCCTCTGTACGTGCCTGGGCTTCCCCAGATCTCCCAGAAGCTGAGTATGAGCAAACAAGAGGTTCAGGCGCTACATCCTGCTCCTGGGAAGACAGCAAACCTTGGACTCTCCCCTAGGAAGGTTCACTCACTCAACCGAATAGCACCTCATCGAAAAAGAAATCTTACCTGTTTTCCAACACCTTTACATTTTCTTTAAGGACCTTCTGCTGTTCTCTTAACTGGTGATTTTTGGCAAACAACTCTTCAATTCTCTGAGCATCACTAATTGAAGAAACAGAACAAAGGGTTATTAGATTTCTCGCCAATATCTATGACTTTATCTGCCGTGCCCTGTCAAGGGGAAGGATTTCTGCCCGGAGCCCGCCGTGCTGTTCACACTGGTATGGCTGAACTGCTTGTGCTTGGGTGGCAGGAGGGGAAACACATGTGTTTGTTAGAGCCCAGATGCTGCCCTGCGACACCCACCCTTGGATTTAGCAGGTTGGTTCCTCCCAGTTTATTGCTTCCCAAGAGAGCAAGCGCCCACTGGCACAAGCATCGCTTGCTGATGGGAAGAATCACAGAATCACAGAATGGTCGGGGTTGGAAGGGACCTCTGTGGGTCAT